CCTCCCCCGGCTTGGATTTGTGCACTCTGGGACGCTTCTCTGTGTGAGGGATGCTATATAAATGCAAATTATTGTTGTGGTTGTATGTATAGGGCTGGAAAATACCCTAATTTTGTGGTCCAAAATATTTTAAAAAAATGTAATCTCATGTCCCTCAATTTCTACACTAGTTATCAATATTGCTGATTTCACATGTGAATTTAAACTATTTTAAACTTACTAGACAAGTTGTTTGTGTTACTAACTACTGCAGCATTCTGTGTTTTAGAAATGTAAGGGTTAATGAACTTCTCATTTAAGGAATTTGACTGCATTCTGCGGCACACCCTAACCAAGAGAAAACTTGCAAAAACAGCCTGCATTGTGTAAAGCACGTTGATGTTTGCTGATTTGTGTATCAGCCTGTCTCACCCAGTTGGCAGCACTCTCGCTTCTGAGTCAGAAGGTTGCGAATTCAAGTCCCATCTTGGAACTTGGAACTCGTAAAATTTATGCTGATGCAAAGAATATTTTGTTAAGCTTTCATAAATAGTTGTGTTTTTATCATCTTCTGATTGCTAATCAAAATAGTGGGATCTAATTTTCAATCTTTTCTTAGCAATCTACTTTTCCACAAAGCCTTACTAAAAAAACTGGTATAAAATTTGCAATGTTTGATAACCAATTTCTTATGATAACTAACACAAAGAATGCTTTGTCGAACACCATTAATTTCATTCTTTAACTATTTCCAGTGTAAATCCCAATCCTAGCCCCTCAGGTTCTAGGAAATACCTGAAACTCTTAAAACTCAGCATGTCAGGTCCGGAAACTGACAAAATAATACCCGTTTACTCCAGTTTATATACTAATTATCTGCTGGTTGAGACAGAACATCACTATGGAGGGATGGGAGGGGGCGTACACACGGAGGGAGGAGGTTGTGTTCACACGGAAGGAGGAGGTTGTGTTGATTGCATTATGAGTTTATGACGTGAATAATTAGGCAATGAAATTAGGCATTGTAAATTCAGGGACATTCAGTGGTAAATCTTTCAACAAAGCACAGCATTACAAACTGAGAATTTTGTTGTGCAAGCAGTTCAGCAGTGTCACAGGATCGAATAGTTGTCACAATACAGTAAAACTCTCATAAATCTTATCTGTATAAATCATATAATTGCCTAAATTGTACATCTGCCCAAGTATTCAGCCACTGTGTTCCGCTGAGTTTCCTATTAAATCCACTTAAATTTATCTGCGCTGGTCGTATCGACAATCACGCAACTTGTAACGCTGCTTATCGTTGCCGGGTCAAAGCTTTGTTTCCCATGCCTCCCTCAAACAGAACACTGAACATACGCACCCCATAGAATACAAAATTAAGCCTCTCAGCGCCCTCCCCCTCCCCCGGGGGCAAAACATCAACCATCATCGTGCAATAGTAGTGGGGGTTGGGGAGGGCTGAGAGAGGAAAGACCATCACCTGATCATTTGGTGAGTGAGGGGGTGAGGAATACATGATCACATAGGGAGCGAAGTGGACCCTTCACCGCATGCTCGCCTACCGAGCTTGAAGCAGCCTACGCAGTGCTCCATGTGAGATAATCATGGGAACCTAAGCCCCGACCCGTCACACGCACTTAATATCTGTAGCTGAAGGACTTGAAGGAGGATTTCTGGGTCCAATATCTCAGAGGTAGCATAGATTAATGAAGCATTAAAAAATGTCATGCCAAAAAAAAGTCATCAAATATGGCTTCTTGACAAACTTTCCTGTGCATGTGTGCTATGCGCAAGAAGCGCCATTGACATTACTTCTTTTGTAAAATGATGTCAGCAGTGCTTCCTGCGAATAAATAGTGTGCTATATGCAGAAAGTGATGTAAGTAGTGACCTAACATCCTGGATGTCAGCCATTTTTTAGTTTGGGAACTGGCTAATCTGCGACACAAGTTGCGTGTATCAAATTTCAAGTTAACCCAGATCAACAAGAGACCAGTGCTATAAGGTTGGTAGTGCTATACTGAAGGTGGGGTACAATAATGTACAAATTGAGACAGGAGTTGAAAGTGCTTGAATGGAGAGCTGCCATTCAATATCTAAATAATAATAATAATCCTTGCATTTGATATTGCGCTTTTCACGTCTTCTAGACATCCCAAAGTGCTTCACAGAACGCGGCAGCCAATTGCGCACAGCAATGTCCCACAAACAGTCGTAGATTGAAAATGACCAATTTATTATTGTTTTTGGTTTTGGAGGGATTATTATTAGGCTCTGTGTGGAGTAAGGAAACTTGCCCAAGGTTTCGCGCTCTGCCTGGAATTGAACTCAGGTCTCTCACTTACAAAGCGAGTGCTCTAACCACTGAGCTACAGGACTCCACAAATGCTCCCTCTTGGTGACATCATCCGTAGACACAGGGTCAACTTCACATGACACCCAACTCTATCTCTGCCTCCACCCTCGATTCCAGCACCACTGCTGTCCTGACAGAATGTCTGTCAGATATTAGGTCCTAGTTCAGAGCTCACTTTCTACAGTTGAACGTCAACAAGACTGAGGCTCTCCTGATTGGCTCCCGTCGCTCCTCTACACCTCAGGCATTGACAGTCTCACCATCCAAGGATGCACAATCCACTTCACTAAGCCAGTCCGGAACCTTGACGTCTTGTTTGACCCTCAACTATCCTTTCTACCCCATATCCATGCCATGACCTGCTTGGGATGTCCTCCTGACGTAATAGGCGCGATACAAATGTAATTTTGTTGTTGTTTTCACCATGTAACTAGTGCGCAATCTAGGCATCCGGATCGACCCCCAGCTGTCCTTGCTCCCCCACATCTAGTTCCTGACCAGGATCGCCTTCCTCCACCTCTGCCACATTGCCTGCTTACGACTGTACCTAACCGAAAATGCAGCTGAAACCCTTGCGCATGCATTTGTCACTTCCCGCCTGGATTAGTCAAACGCACTCCTCGCCTGTCTCCCCAGCTCTACTATTCATAAAATCCAGTTCATTTTGAACTCTACTGCCCACATACTGACCCGGACCAAACTCCATACCCCCATCTCACCAGCTCTGGCCAGGCTCCACTGGCTCCACATCACTGAACGGATCGACTTCAAGATCCTCACATTCAAATCCCTTCACTCCCTGGCACCTCCCTATCTCTGATCTCCTCATTCCCCAATACACTACCCGGGGCCTCCATTCGACTGGCACTACAGGGCTCCTGATATCTATTCCCTACATCTTAAGTGAGCCTGGCTCAGTTGGTGTCTCTTGCTTTTGAGTCAGAAGGTTGTGTATTTAAGTTCCACCTGGAGACTTTGAACTCCCATGGTCCAGGATGATACTCCAATACTGTTCTGAGAGTGCGCTTCATTGTTTGAGGTGCCATACTTCAGTTGAAACATTAAACCAAGGTCCCATCCTCCCCACTGATGTCGACTTTAATGATCTCATGACACTTCTCAAAAAGAGAAGGGAGGTTCCCCCAGACCTGGCCAACAGTTTCCCAAGATAAAATTCGTCATTCACTTCTTGGCTGTATGTGGGACATTTCTGCATGCAAATTGGGTGCTGCATTCGCCTACAAAATACACAGTCGCTGCACTTTGAGACATCCTTCTGACATGAAAGGTGTTGTATCAAATGCAAAGTTTATAAAAATTATTATTAATTTCACTGTTCAAATATGATGATCTCCAATGAATTCTGTCCAGTGCCTTGGGACATCCTCCCGACGTGAAAGCCACTATATAAATGAAACTTGTTTGTTGTTGTTGTTGTCTTCCTCCTCCCAACACTGTAGACACATTGGTGATTGGATATGTCATTTGATAGTTGTCCCCAGTAGAATTTTTATTTAAACAGAGTTGCTTTCAGAGATGGATGGATTTTGAGAACCTATTTAATAAGATATTTTAGAAGAGATTTATACTGATTGGATGGAAGGGAATATATTTACGCCAATAGGAAATGTCTCTGTGTTCCTGTTACCTACAATAGGATTCTGAACTAGATATTTATTCAGCCTCGTTCTGAAGGTACAATCAAAACAGCGTAAACTTTGATTTCCTGAAATTTTGTTCCTGGTGGTTAGTGTGTGTTATTTTGGGTGGGGGAGCGAGGGTTTGAAGGACAGTGGTGGTAGAAAAATACACAATTTCTATTAATCCTCAGTATCCTATTTGCTGACACTCTAATGCCTCATTTCGTGGCCTGACAATCCCATCTAAAATGGTTTGGGGGGAGATTAAATTTGTGTACCAGTCAATATCCAGTTACTGATTGAGTATAATTTTAAACAATGGATACATTGGAGATGATAATTTTCACCAAATTAATATTCAACATGTGTCTTGTACTTTATTCTTAGACCAAGTGAAATTACCTGATTACATCTGTGTCATCTATGCTTGCAAGCATTTTAAACACCTGGATCTCATCCCTTCTTGTTGCTCATACAAGTTCAATTTTGTAATTTAGAATCCTAAATTGCAAAAGGTTTTTGTTTTTCATTTAACCCTTTCCAGTGTATCATTACATTGAATGAAGCCGCTCAATGCATGTTGAGCTATCTCAACGGCGTGATAAGACAATATCAAATGCAAGGATTATTTTTAATACTTAATTGTTTTGTTAATTTTGGCTTGCGGTTCAGGTGTAATCTCTCTTCTAGTTTTCCTGGCTGTATAAATGCCAGCAGTACCGAGTCCCGGAGCCTTGCCTCTTGCCAATCTGCACCTAATATTCTCTGGAATCAGGTTAGCAGGGTGAATCCCTCCAGGGAGGTAGTACACATTCCACAGCAGACACAGGAACATTTTCGTGTGTAGGGTGAAAGTTGTTTGTCTTATCTAGCATGTCCTTCCTTTACATTTCAAATGAAGCATTTGTTTTGAAATCATCATTGTTATGAATCATCAGTGATGTTAGTTTCAAACCAGACAGGAAAAAAACATTTGTAATGATGTGTTCTCACTCATGTCCATCTCTATTTTCTTGCAGACTGCAGCTGTCTCCGATGGAGGTTAGTGCACATTTTCAGATAAGTAAAAGCACGATATAGTAGGGCAACAATATTAAATTGTGTTAATTGTTTTTATTTATTTATGATTAGACCTTTAGTGCGTTTCCAAAATATACACTATTTATGGAATAAGTTTTATTATGGGTCAACACTGTAAGCATACTTCATTTTACTTGGCAATGATATGTTTCCTATGATTGCTGTAACATACAGATTTTCTATAAACCAAATAAACTGAAGCTTCTAACTTCAGATCATGTCTTCATAACATGATTTTTCTTTGGATTCCGCCAGTATAACAATAGCATTGTAGAATAGCTGGTATATATGCAAATGTTGCACCTATGCCAAGCATTTAAAAAAAAGGAGGATTCTTGGCTGAATTGCTGGTAGAACCCAAATACACTAAATCACAAAACACTCGAATTAGCTCTTGAAAATTCTTCAACAAGCACAAGTTGTCCCACTGGAAAAAACAAATATTACAGCCCCTTTTTACCCTGTAGTTTGATCCCACAGGGGCCAACTCCAACCCCCATCCTGTCCTCCAGTAACTCATCATGTGTAACCATCATGTGTCAGCAGTATGTTGAACTTTGGGGAGAGTTATATATGAGCCCAATCCAACTAGACCAATGTCCATAAACATTAACTTTCCAGCACAGGAAAGTGATTAGGAGCAGGCTCACTGGCAGATTTTCCCCACTCTTCTAGATTTGAGGCTAATTGTGGCTGCCCAGATGAGATGAGATAATTAAGTACAGACCATGTTATTTTTTTGTCAGCCAGGTGTGTGACACATGTGAAAAGCTGTCACGTGATTAAGAGTATCCAAACCAGACTGTATTCCACGTGTATATGCCGCCCACACATGGAAATTTCTGTTTGTTTGGAATAGAATGTACACTCTCTTCCTGGTGGGACACACGCTGGTTACTTAATTTTCAAGAGTATTAGACTCAATTTGGCAAGAGCCGAGGCTTGGGGACCCTAACGTGTGCATTGGGGTAATACTGTTAATTTAACTTGCTAAAAGCAGCATAGTTTACCATTGGGAGGGAACATTGTCTGGCAAGCTTCCAGCTGCTTGTTCACTTAGGGCCACTCCAACTATTAGGATCCCTTGGTGGGTTAACAAGAGCTAAATGGGAATATTCCCTATTTCCAGTGACTTGGTCTGCCCCTCCAGGACCTGCCGATAAGCCAAGCCGGTTGCTCTGTCTTTAGTCGTGCTCTGGAGAACTCAGACCTGTGTGGCTCAGAAATTGACTCCTGAGACCACCACAGAGGATTGATTTCATTTCAAAGTTCTATTGCCCAGCAGGTCACCTTGAAGCTAGTTCAGCTCGAAGCAGACTCCCCCTCCCCCCACCCGCTCCGGGATAGTATGGTTTGAAGTTACCTTCTGGAATTGTCTCCTTGCAGTCATTTTAGCAACTAAGCCAGCAGGGAAGCTAGGAATTCCCTCATGAAGTACTTATGTACCTCCCAAGTATATAAGATGTCTGCTGTCCGTGAGAAAAAAAATTAAGAAACGGAGGCAGAAGGATATGTTTTAGGTCAGCTTGCAAGTAAAGATGTAATGACCTCCAATATGAGAAATTGTGTCTTCCAAATGTCTCAGATTCACTCTATTTTCAGAGCATTTTAATTCCCAGTAGTTAAATTCCACTTGAGAATAACATTTTGCAGATTATGAAATTATTTAAAAGGTGTGTTGCTGTTTCTCTTGTGGCAAGATTGTTTCTGTTGGCTCATGTGTGTAGGACAAATTCAATTCTATATCTCAATGCTGCACCTCAAGCTTTTGAGCATCCAACAGAAAAAGTTTGAATTGATGACAAGTTTATCTGTAGGGTTCCAGTATTCAATGATCCAGAGGTGTGCAAGCAGTGTCATTGTCCTCTCGTCTACTGCTTGGGGAGAGCTACTGGACATTTGATCAGTTTATCTCAACCAGGATCACAAGTTAGCAAACTTTTGTGGAAAGTTAGCAAACTTTTGTGGAAAGTTACCAAACTTTCGAAGTTATCAATATAATTTGCTGCCATGACGAGAGAAAAGGAAGTGGAGAAATTTGGACAGAAAAAGATTTGGATACCCAAATACAAGCCTTTCTGAGGGAGATGTATTGAATTTGCGCACATATCATTTATATCTTTCACCGGCCTGTCTTGTGACTTTCTGATTGAAACTACTGATCCAAACCACTGTAACATTTTGCACACAAGATGCACACAGTTACATCACTTTAGAGTATATTATGGCAAAAAGCTTTGAGATGTCTCAATGACATGATAAGTGTTATATCAGATGCCAGGATTATTTTATTATTGTTATGAACCGTTTTTGTCTGAAATCATGTCCACTAGGAATTAGATTGAGTCTCTCCCCAAATTTATTTCACTTGGGATCTGATAGAGGCAGATTTCTTGTTCATTATCTTATCTAAAGTGGAAAATACAGTTTTCCAACCTTGGCATCACTCAGTTCCCTATTGGTGAACATTTAGAAATCTGGGGATTCAGCTTTTGGAACAATAGTATTGATTTTTGTTGACTAGCTGTGATAAAACGTTAATAGACTTAAATGCAGTAGACTTTTAACTGCTTTATAATGCATAGGTGATATATTGCAGAATTTAAAAGTTTTGTAGTAGTTTTTAAACAATGGATTTTAAATATAGAGAATAGGTTGTTCATCTGAAACCTGACAATAGACAACAAAGTAGTAGTGGTATGCAGTTCACTGTTTTAAAATATGTATTCACTTGACCTATTAACGAAAATCCATGGTGACTCACCCATCTTGACTGAGATTGGAAGCACTTTGGATATTTCCTTGTTAACAGCTCAGTAAATTAAATGTACTGTGTTCCTATTTTTATTGAATTGAATAATGTTTATCCTTAAATGAAAGTGGTCGTGAAATGCACAAGAATTAGGCTACTATTTTGAGTATTTAATTGAAATAAAATTATGGGGAATACAGCTATAGTGTTGTTTGTCTGCAAAAATTGTTGCTTATCAGTGAAACAACCTCTTATTCTGAACATTAAACTGTTGTTTTATTAACATAATCATAAAAATGAAATGATCTGTCTTGGTGCAATTCAGGTTGTTTTGTGACTGAAGTAATTTCATTAGTGGTTTGAATCTTTTTCTTATTGAAATAGAATTTTGCAATTAATTTGTAATTGTTCATCTTTGCTTTTATAATAAGCTTCAGCTTGCAGAAAGTGTCTGAAAAAACTCATTTTTGTCAGTATTACTCTCAATCTAGGGGAGTTGTATTGAGCCATAACATTCGATAAATAATGCCTAAAATTTATATTATAAAACATTTGTATCTTTTTTTCTAAATATACTTTGAGGAAACTTTGGTATTTCTACTACAGAAGAATTAAATTAAGAATTTTCACTATAATAAAAAAGTGGAACTTAAAAAAAATGAATTCCTTCCCTGACTCTATACTTATTAATTGAAACTTTGTTTCTAGAACTATAATTGAAAGATAACAACAATAACAACAACAAATTCCATTTATATAGCTGCTTTCACGTCAGAACAACGTCCCAAGGTGGTGGATTTGAACCCGAGCTGGGGAGCTGATTTGGGAGGGGTGAGGGCCTAGAAGGTTGGAGATGGAGTGGTGGGGCAGAGGGATATAACTGAAGGTGCTGACAAAGAGAAGGGTCTTGAGACTGACCTTAAAGGAAGAGACGGAAGGGGTGAGGTGAATTGCTTCCGAGATTGAGTTCCAGAAAGTAGAGGCAGATATGCTGAAGGCACGACTGCTGAAGGTGGGGCGGGCAGGGTAGGGTATGTGAAGCAGGCCAGTGCTTAAAAAAAATGTGGACTAAATTCGACAGTGCCTATCAATTCTAACAGAAAAATAGTGTGTATCAGATTCCCTTTTTACATATATTTGATTTTTATTCTGCTGGTCTACATAAAAATACCTTTCTTGTAGCACATATTAAAAACAAATTGATTATACTGTAGCTCATCCTGGTTTCTAATTGTGTCTTAATCCTAGAAGTTTCTACCACTTAGTTCTTTAGCAACAGTGTTCAGATTGTTTTGTCTTTGATTAGATTCATAGGAATGGAGCTTAAAAAGGATGACTATAGTCGTTTTAGTCCTGAAATAAGTTAGACAGCTTTTGGTAACATGGATGTACCAAAAGCTATCTGTCCTACCACAAGTGGTGTTTTTCATTGGATTATCAATAATTTAGGTTCCTGTGGCAACGCCAGAGTACAAGTCATCCTAAATAATTTAGTTTGCTCTCTTAAAGCATTGTGTTTGACATTTAATCTGTTTCCCTTGCTTACGGTCAAGAGGAGGAGAATTTCTTTGAAGGAGCGGGCAGTCTAATTTCCTACAGGTCTTAAACTATCAGGAGAAACAGATAGATTTTCTTCATCTGAGGACAAGTAAACCTGGACAAAATGTCACTTAGGCTGGCAGTAGATGGTTTCCAGGTGTTACTGGGAAAGTACAGTTAGATTGGCATGGATTCTGGCACCAGGTTTGCAGCAAAAGGTTTGAAGTATTTGGTGAGACGGCACCATAGTGGATCCTATCAGGTTCAATCAGGTAAGCTGGGAGGGAGCAGAAGATCTTTATTTGTTTTGTCAAGAAGGGGTACATTTTGTTCTGTGAGATTATTTGAGAAATTTAAAATGTTAGCTGATTATAGCTATTGCCAAAACAGTACGTTTGGACAGATTCACTTAGAAAGAAGAACGTTTTAAAACTAAAATACTTTATTATTTAACTATGATGTGGTAGAGTAATAACACTTAACTGGAATCAGATTGGTTAAATGTTCCACACTGAATTTAATAGTATTTAATTACCCAGTACAGTTACTGTGCTTCAAAGACATGTTATCGTGGTCTTTTCTGCAACAAGTAATGATAAAAATACTGTTGAAGAAACACTGAAATTTACCGATGGTAGAAATACAACTGAACTTAATAGTACTGTATTTA